TTTTCATTTAGAAAAAGCCAAATTACGTGCAAATTAGGTCCCAAGTTTAAAAATTAGGTGCTCTAAAATTTTCACCTCAACAAACTGTTGAAATTTGCGTTGCTGGCAAAACGTATCGCTAGCAACGCAGTGACGATAACAGATATACGATAAATATTAATTAGATAAATATTATTAAGATTAAGGAATCAAGTGCTAATTAAATTCTGAGCGATTATCGAGACCAACAATCTGGGTCGGGACCCGATGCAGATTAAGTTGTTATTCTGGGAATTATAGGGTCCACGACTACCATTGCCGCATCATATGGTAAGAACAGCATTAATTGTTTTTTATCAATGCCTAAAAATTAAGAAAATGCTGAAAGATTATGGGTAGAAAATAATGTCGGTTGTTAGTTTTTTTTTTATAAAAGGTAAGTAATTACATTGTTTTAAAAGTTTATTTTTCTTGTATTTTGTCTCGTAACAATTTACGAAATTTGCATTTTAAATACTGTGTCGTTCACATAAGAAATAGATTTGTCAGAAGTAACTGAAAATGAAACGTAATGTGTGAGTTATTACTTATCACTATAAATCATGTATAAAGGGAAATAAATAAAATACACACAAATATTTGTAGGAAAATGTTCTTGTTTTATGGTACCTAAATAAGTCAGTATAAAGAGAAATATTTTGATTTATGTTTATTTTTGTATCAGTGTCTTTGCATATGTCCCGTTCTTGCTATCGGATTTTACTGTCAAGTGAGTTGGACATCAATACAATTTTTTAATATGATCTAATAATATTAGCTAACCATCTAAGCTACACGTACCTTGTTACTGTGTTATAAGGTACGTGTACTGGAACGGTACACCGACTAATCGCCTAATTAGAAAAACTAATTAGAATGCTATATAATAATTAGGTAACTTAGGTAAGGAAGCGAATAAAAAATCGACTTCTGAAATAAAACCTAATTATAAATATAAACTGCACACATAAAGTCACGTTAGTCAAGTCGTTCTAATGTTCCAAGTAAAGTTGTTATCCAATTTTGGTAACCGGACTTTTTGGTAACCGAAACGCCAGTCACGGTTATTTAAAAATAACACTTTTACCCAAGCCTAGTCGCCTCTTACGACAAATACGGGATGATATGGATATTGATACACCGACACTACACGGTAATTGATTAGGTACTTCTAAAAACATTTTATTTATCGACATCCTGCAATCGTCGTTTCTCTACCGCTCACTTGACTTTCATACAAATAATTCGATATTTTAACTGTTGATTTTTTTTAGATAAGAACATAGTAAAATTAATTGGCAAAATGACACTACGCTATATGGTTGCGCGGAAAACCATTCGTATTTTTATTTTATTCGAAGGTAGGCTTGCCAAGCGTTTTGTCCTTTCCATGACCATTCGCCCCTCCGACACACCGGGGTGGTGGGTGAGAGGGGAAAGAAGAAAGTTCTAGAATGTCACGTAATTCTCGCAACCAATGAGAAGCACGCCCCACCGAAACGTATTGAAGAAGAACCAAAGCAATATAAGTGCGCGCACGGCCCTCGTGCACTCTCTTCCATCGCACCACCGACCAGGACCGCATCCCTGGGGCCCCAGGAGATCCGCCAGAAATCCCACCGCAGCAACAAGCGTCCAAGCCGCATCGAAGTAACACACCGGTAAGTGCGCCTCCTTATTTACGTCCCCTGCTTGAATATTTGTGTTTTATTAGTTAATCCGCCCAATTTCATTTCTACTAATGTGATCAAGCAGGGTTCCTTCATAAACCTTGGCAAGCAATAGGTTTTTTTGGAAGAGCGAGTGCATTGTCAAGGAACCGCGTGCCAAATCCGCCATCTTGTTTAGGCATCATCCATCATCCGCGTATACAGTCCACATAGTGTAACATCTCGCGTAATACGGTCAAGGCTCGACCGGGGAATGGTGACTCGGCAACCTTGAGGCCCGCTCAACCATTTTCTGATCCTTCGGCCGGATTTGGACTGGTGCTCATAGCCTCACCGACCATTCAATCATCGAATTGCTAGATTAATTCCTTAGACAATGCACTCTAATTTAATATAGAATTATTCATTTAAATAGTGTTCGTTTAGTTTAAATTTAAACTTTGGTTAGTTATTCGCAAATAGAATTATTCATTTAAATAGTGTTAGTTTAGTTTAAATTTAAACTTTGGTTAGTTATTCGCAAATAGAATTATTCATTTAAATAGTGTTCGTGGTTCGCTTATTCATTTGTTTAGTTTAAATTAAAAAATTATTAGTTGCTCGCATAAGTAAATCGACTTATTTATCTAAAATGGTTTAGTTCCGCACGGTTTGTTCGGCTACCCGACCTTTGTAAAAAAACAGTGTGAGTTTAGCGACCAACACGCGTCACCTCGGCTCGTTGTAAAGGTGTTCAATTTAACGACGTAATACGGCACGATAAGACAATAGTTCCAACGTTGTGCGATTAATTGTGATTAATCTAATATTAATTATAGTAATTTAAAATGGAACTTAGTGGAAATGAAATTAAACTTAAAACTCTTTACGCCAAGAGGGACATACTCTTCTCACGTATACAGTGTATAAGTGATCACATAAAGAATATTAACGTAGAAGCAGTGCGGGAGACGTTTTTCTGTGAAATAGAAACGGTGGACTCTTTGCGGACGGATTACGAAAAGATATTAGACCAAATTAATAATTTGGAATTACAAATCGACCCTAAGTATACAGTAAACTACCAGCCGCTTCTAGCGATTGAAGACATGTTGTGTCGCGTGAAAAGAACGGCGAAGCTCTTGCAGTCCCCATCTCAAAGCGAAGCAAAGCCGGAAGCCCAGGTACGCCCACGTAACTCACTCAGGTTGCCCCCCATAGATATTCCGGTATTCAATGGCGATATTAAAACATGGCCCTTCTTCTTTAGTAGTTTTCAAAACAACATACATAATAATCCATCGTTATCGAACGCTGAAAAATTATACTATTTAATTAGTAAACTGAGTGGTAGGGCACAGTCAATTTGCTCGGGTTTCACACCAACAGCAAACAATTATTCATATATTTGAAACACTTAACGCGGGCTCCACACTCCTATGTGATTCACGGCGTGAATTCACGCCGTAATTTTGCCGCGAAGTCGTCGTGAAAAACATGTCCCTCCACATTCGCACCGTTCACAGTTTAGTTCACGCGCTCGTCGAGAATGGACGCCGAAATATGCACTGCTATCGCCGTTACGCTATGCGCTTTGGCTCACTACAATTACGTGTATATAAAAGATAAAAAAAAAATGGAGAAGAAGAAGATGGTGGATGACAAAGATACATCGAAATAGAACAAGGTAGGTGGTACCTATGATGAGTGTCGATTCAGATGGCGTAAAAGAACTGTTAAATAATTAGTTCAGTCCTGTCAGACACAAAAAACTGTACGGGCTTGTAATTGCAGGACTAAACTAATTTTAAAGTTAAAGATTATTTGCGTGGTAGAGCCATGCTGAGTTATATTAGTAGTATAGTTGTAGCACGAATGGGCCGGCTCGACCGGGGAAGGATCACGCTCTCACAGAATACCAGCGTCAAATAGTAGCTAATTCTTTTGTGTTTCGTATGGTGAGTGTAGAGAACCGGAGATCCTTTTCACTTAATATTAATTTATTATATATTTATTAATTTTAATATTAATTTCTATTTTATTTTATACTAACATTTCGTTAAGGTTTGTTTTACTAACAATCTATGACTATTGTTGGTCGAAATAAAGGATTTTATTTATTTTTGTTATTATTTACTGGAAACGAGGCAGTCCATCTAAGTCCTCACGGATGACAACGCATCTGCACTTTGATTCGTAATCGAGGATAGATGTATATGTCTATGGGCCACAGCAACCACTTACCATCAGGTGGAGTGTGTGCTCGTTTGTCATGCTATCCTATAAAATAAAAAAATAAAGGATTCGGTTTGACGACTCCGTGGCGCAGTGGCTTAGCAATGAGTGGCTGCGCTGGGGGTCGCGGGTTCGAATCCCGCACGGAACAAGTATTTGTATGGCCTACATATAGTTGTTCCGGGTCTGGATGTTTGTCCTTGTGAAATTTATGTTTGTAAACTGCCCCCACGATACAAGAGAAAATCTTAGTGTAGGGGTAACGTCTTTAAAAATAATAAAAAAAATAAAAAAGCATTTGCTATTCAAATTGACACCATTGTCAATAAATATATTAACCTTTTACCCAACGGGACCGCAAATATATCGCAAGTGTTAAGCTTGACATGCACTCGATATAGTACTATTTTATTGCACACAAAACGAGTTTTATGGGGTCATTTTATTTGTTGCAGCTTAACTATGGAAAACCAATTGATGGAATTAGTTGCCGAACCTTCCGGTGAATTTAAAAAGTTTACTCGAATGTCTTTAGAAGATTTTGAGAACTTACTAAATAAGGTTTCACCAGTGATTATGAAACAAGATACTCAACTGCGAAAAGCAATTCCAGCTCGAATGCGTCTCGCTGTCACGTTAAGATTCTTGGCTTCTGGAGATAGTTATGAAAGCTTGCATTTCTTATTCAAAATTTCACCTCAATTAGTTTCGGAGATCATACCTGAAGTATGCCTGGCTTTGAATCAAGTCTTGAAGGAGGAAGTTAAGTTAATAAAATAAAATTTTACTTGAAATCGTGTTTATTTATTTAAAATGGAAATAATCACTTATTATCATAACTGAATTAACTTATAAGTAGCTCCTCCAATAACTAAATATAAAAAGTGAATCATCTTTATCTTGATTATGTCAAGAGCACGGAAAGCTTCAGACTTTGAAATTTGTAATGTTTTCTTATGCCATACATAATAATAGATAGAATATGTAGAACTGAAAGAGTGAAGCTTGACATGCACTTGTCTGTACTTATTCTGATCAATCAATCCTAATAAAAAAAACATAATGAAACATAAAAAATAGCAATGTTTTGGCTTACAGTTAGGCAAGATGAAATGCTTTATTAATTACATTTCCAAATTCAGTCTGTGCATCTTCTGTCACTCGATATGGAGTCTCTGTGTTTGCAAGATAGTGCGTGGCTGGAGATTGTACGTCATTGCATGTTACCATAAATCTCGAACTAGTGTTTCTACTATTTTCAGGATTGTGAATGACTTGAGGTTCTATAACTTCATCCGATGTTAGCATAGCTCTCGAATCAGCGTTTTTGCTATAGTCAGGAATATGAATGCGTTTAGATTTTATTACTTTATTTGATGTTATCATAACTCTAGAACCGGTGTTTCTGCTATAATCAGTAACATGAATGACTGGAGGTTCTCCAACTTCATCCGATGTTACCATAACTCTCGAACCAGTGTATGTATTAGAGTCAGTATTGTGAGTGACTGAAAGTGGCGAATTATTCGTTGTATGCTCGGAATAAATTGAATGAGTTGTGCTAGGTCTCCCATATAGAGCAGTGGATGGAGGCGGAGATTGGTATTCAGAATACGTTGAGCGTGATGTGCTAGGTCTCTCATATAACGCAGTACATGGAGGTGGAGATTGGTGTTCAGAATACGTTGAACGTGATGTGCTAGGTCTCTCATATAACGCAGTACATGGAGGTGGAGATTGGTGTTCAGAATATGTTGAACGTGATGTGCTAGGTCTCCCATACTGAGCTGGGCTATTAGAGAATCTGTTGTATCGATTTCGACTATTTTGTTGGTGGCGTAAGAATATGCCGTCTATTTCATACATGAAAGGTAATCTGTCATCTTCAGGTAATGTCTTTATTTTTTTGGATAACATTTTACCATATAGATCATAAACATCATCTTGGTCGGAGTGGAATTCTTTCCTATTGATGGTTGATTGTAATGTAGCAAGAGCATCTTGTACGACTTTGCCGGCATCTTGAAGTTCAGGTGGATTGTTGCGCCGACGGATTGTGTGTGGTAACTTTTTTTGGTAATTCAGGTTTTGTACATCTTGTTGTTCTTTGACCTCTTTATTGTCAACCGATTCTTCCTCCTGAAAAAAAGTGTAAGAAAATAATTATAACATTATTTTTTTTACTTTATTATTTTACAGATTCCATCGACCGCAGAAGAATGGCTAGATATCGAAAATGGATTTGCTCGTAAATATCCTCGTGCTATTGGATCCATAGACGGACAGCACATCACTCTAGAATGTCCAAGTAACTCAGGATCAGAGTATTTTAACTACAAAAAAAACATTCAGCATAGTGTTGCTAGCATTGGTGGACAGCAGTTACAATTTTATTTTTGCAGATATTGGTTCTCAGGGCAGGATTAGTGATGGCGGAGTATTTCGGAATAGTTTGCTATGGCAAAAAATTTGCGCAAATGCTTTAAATATTCCTGAACCAAGCCCTCTCCCAGGCTCGAATGTCGATGTACCGTACGTATTTTTGGGCGACGGTGCTTTTGCACTTACAGATCATGTGATGAAACCTTATCCAGGCAACCATGAATGTAGTTCTCCAAAACGCATATTTAACCAAGCATTGTCACGAGCACGTGTTGTTGTAGAGAATACATTCGGAATACTTGTGACGAAATTTCGTGTGTTTAAAAAACCGTTTCAGTTATGCCCAGAAAAGGTTTCTCTTATTACAATGACTTGTATATTGTTGCATAATTATCTCAGAAGGAGCAATACTTCGTTACCCATATATACACCGCCCAGGACCATCGACACGTATGATAACAATGACGTACTCATACACCCCGGTTCCTGGAGACAAGAATTGGAAAGCAATTCTGCTGTTCGTGATTTGCCACACGTACCTCGTCGACCAGCTTCGAATGCGAGAGAAATAAGAGAAGAATTCACTAATTATTTTTTGCACTAAACCAACAACAAAATATGCCTTAAGAGGAAACATCATGGCCGTTTTTCCATATAAACGTAGTTCCTTTTTCCTCCCTAGAAAATGCCAGCAGAGCAATATTTTTTTTCCAAGAAATCTATGGCCACTATTGCCATGTCCCTGTTTTCCTTATTTTTATAAATTAATTATTAAAAGAGAAATTAAACTTCAAAAACCTAAAAAATTGGCTAGATTTTCAGCCGTGTTCAAAAATCCATAAAACATTGACTAGATTATATAAAAAAGGAAAACATAGGAACACGGCCAAAAACTTTCTTTAATTTTTAATGACAAAAGTAATTAAATACCAAATACCTATTTTCCAATTCTCTCGCCCTCAATGTTTCCTCTTAATCTTTACATGTTGACATTAATAATAAATTGCAAATAAAACATACTAACCGTATTTGTAGTTTTTTTGCAATTATCGCTTTCTCCTAGAAAAGCATCGATCGCGTCAAAGGCAAACCAAATGGGCTTGTAAATTTCGTCACTGCTTGCTCCAGACTTCCTTTCGGAATCTTTCACCTTTTTCCTATAATTCCTATAACTGGACATGAGATTTTCTTTTTTTCTTTTTAAATCAGTCACTTCAATGTTCATTATTTCCCCTATTCGTATCCATGCATCATGTACTTTTATTTTATTTTTGTGGTCTTTGTGTTTAGCATCCCATAAAATGGGTTCGGCATGATAACACTCGATCAATAAGAGTTCCTGCTCGTTCGTCCAACTGACGCTCATTTTGACGCACCGTCCTTCGTAAACAAATACTAATAAGCACAACCTCAACGCACCGAGTCCCGTACGTTACTGAGTTCACGCGCGAGTGTGGATGCGCTTGCGTTCACGGAAGGTTCACGCTCCGTAAACCCTTTGAAGCGGGCGCAAAATACCGACACTGGACGGGGAACACAGCGTGAAAAGGCGCGAAGCCCGTGAACGGGCGCGAAAGCCATCCACATTCGCGGTTCACGCCTTTCACGGGTGTTCACGGCGTGAATGTGGAGGGCGCTTAAGGACAAATATGAAGATAAGCGAATGTTAGCCTCTTCATATTTAGACCAAATATTCGATATTAAACCTATATCATCCGCGAACATCACCGGCTTAGAGCAGTTTTTAGATAAATTTGTAGCATCGGTGGCTGCACTTAAGAACTTGAAATTTAATGACCTTATGGACGTGGTGTTTCTCCATATTGCACTAAAGAAACTAGACCCCGACACCGTGCGTGCGTTTGAAATGGAGCATCGTAGTTCTGAGTTGCCCTCATTTGATTTATTAGCATCCTTTGTGCGAGACCAAATTAAAGTGATACAGCACTCCTCGAACGTTAAACAAGAAGTTAAGAAAGGTGTCGACCGCAGACAGACTCCATCATCTAAAACCGCAGGGTCTCTAACGTACGTAACCGCCGCGCCTGTATCGCCCCATAGCGCCTGTGTTCTATGTAAAAATAAACAACACGGTAATTTATATAATTGTGCGACCTTTCGTAAACATTCACCCGGCGAACGTTATAGAATAGTAAGGACAAACAACTTATGTTTGAATTGTCTAAGCGATAGACATTTAGTTGCTAAATGCAATTCTAGTTCCGTGTGTAACAAGTGCGCCAGAAAACATCACACGTTATTACATTTCGAAAACAGCAACATATTTGCGTCAAGTAAATCGGACAAGGAAATCACACCTACTAAAGTCGACGATTCTAGCGGTCGACCTGGTGATGTCGCTCTGTGCTCATTGTCGAATGTGGGAACACAGCCTCCTTCAACCGTGTTACTGGGTACATCCCGTATCGTAGTTAGGAATTCGCGTGGAAACGAACAAGGCGTCCGTACATTGCTAGACAGCGGATCCCAAAATAGCTTTATAACGCGACAATGTTGCCAGCGCTTAGGATTGCCAATAAATAGGACAACTTCGTGTCCCGTAGTCAAAGGCATCGTAGGTACTAGTAAAATTACCCAGGGATGTATAAATTTGAAATTTATTCTCGGATAGATCGTAATATTAACTTTGACATAAATACACTAGTAGTAGATAAAGTCACTGAACGTCTGCCAACCGTTTCGGTTGACACCTCGGCAATGATTGATTTTGAAAATCTGACGCTGGCAGACGATACTTACGCCGTCCCCGGAAACATAGACATGCTCATTGGAGCATCGCTTTTCCCTCATCTTTTGTTACACAATAAGGTCAGGGGCAACTCCTCGCATACCGCGCCTTACGCATTGGAAACCATCTTGGGCTATGTCATCGTTGGTTCCGCCCCCATCATGGATAGTATTTCGGCAACCTCTTATTGTTGTATGGCTGTCGAACCGCTCGAGTCGTTAGTCCGCAAATTTTGGGAGATGGAGGAGGTGAACAGCTAACCTATAGTTAGCCCAGAGGATAGATTATGCGAGGAAATTTACGTCCGCACGACGGTTCGTGATCGCGACGGTCGATATAGTGTAGCGCTACCCTTTAAAGGAGATGTTTTATCTCTCGGCGATTCGCGTCAAATGGCGGAAAAAGGTTTCTACAGTTTGGAGCGTAGGATGCTCGCTTCACCCCAATTGAAGGAAGCTTATGACGGCGTCATTAACGAATATATAAGGGAAGGTTACATATAACTTGTGGCTCCGAAATTAGATAACTACGAAAATACACTGTGGTATTTCATACCACATCACGGGGTCATTAGGGAAGACAAACTTACGTCTAAGTTACGTGTAGAGCTCGACGCTAGTGCTAAAACTAGCACTCACCTTTCTCTTAACGATATCCTCTAAAGTGGGCAAAATTTACAGGGCGGTTTATTTAATATAATAGCAAATTTTCGTTTGTTTAGTATAGCACTATCCGCCGATATTCGCCAAATGTTTCTTTGCATAGGGGTCCGTGAATGCGACCGTCGATTCCAACGCGTTTTATATCGCTTCAACCCAAAATAACCTCTAATGGTGTTTGAATTTAACCGCGTTTGCTTTGGTTTAAAGTCGAGCCCATTTCATGCGTTACGCACGGTGAGACAGCTCGCCTACGATGAAGGTCCCTCTTATCCTAAAGCTAAGAGGGCAATTGAAAGTGGATTATATATAGATGATTTTGTGTACTCGGTCGATAGCGTGGAGGAGGCCATCCTAACCACCGCCGAGGTTATAAAGCTCATGAAATCGGGTCAATTCGATCTTGTCAAGTGGACTAGTAATTCGCGTCCGGTTTTAGACACAATCCCACTATCACACCGCCTTTCGGCGCTAAAGGAATTCGACGATTCTGATACGCCCAAGGTGCTCGGTCTGTGTTGGTCACCAGAGTCCGACGTGTTTAGCCTTAAAGTAAACCCGCCCGTAGAAACGTGCACAAAGCGCACAATGCTGTCATGCGTTGCTAGATTATGGGATGTCATGGGTTTCGTAGCTCCGGTGGTACTATACGCTAAGCTTTTGATTAAACAACT